AGGAGGCGCGGGCGGGGGCGGCCGAGGCGGGAGCCTCCCTGCGCCGCACTGTGCGGGAGGAGGGCGACCCCGCAGCCCAGCCGCGCCGGCCCCGCGCTCCCTGCCCGCGGCAGCCGACTGCTCGGCCCCGGCTCCTCCGAGTGAGTGCGCCGAGCCCGCGGAGCCCCGGCTGGTGCCGCGGTGGGGGCGGGGAGTGGGGGCGGCGGGCGGGGAGGAGCTCGCCGGCTCCCCTCTGCTGCAGGTAATCCGCAGCCCGCCGCTCGGGCCCGCCAAACCCGAGGCCCAGCGCCGCTTACTGGCTGCCCTGGGTATCGGGGCCCCGAGCACCGAGGAGCGCGCAGCCTTCCACCTCCGCGGGTCCGCCCGCCCCTCTGACCTTCGGTGAAACCCGGGGCTCAGCGTTCTCTCCTCCCGGAGGGGACTGCGGCGGTAACTCGCGCGGCACCCCGGACGGCGCGCAAGAATCATCTTTCAGCTGGACGCACGGAGTGGGTAATCGAAAATTAAGTCACCCAACACAGGGTATTTTAAAACTTGGATTTCCTCTACTTCTGACCGACAAGGGGATTCTGCAATATCTAGTCTCGGTGCACCTTGCTTTTCACAGGCCACCCATACAAAGTGCGCGGTGCACAGAACTGGAACAAATTCATTCCGCGAGTATGTGGGGAGTGCCTGTGGCAGACACCTGTAGTGCGAGGCAGACAACAGAGGGTAAACTCTGATTCGACTAGGAACTGCAGGAAAGGAGGGGATCAAATAAACTTGAATCGCTGATGAGCTAAATAGACCTTGGTACCCATTTATTTCTGAAGAAATTCAGAACATCTGAACACCTCACCATATATCACAATATCTTTACTTCGCACAAATCCACCCAATAGCTCACCACGTCGCCATTTGACAAAGGGCTGTGACTTAACAAAATGCAGGGTGTCTGAGACGATGTGGACAAGAAGCACTAATCTCTTGTCCCTAGCTCACCGCAGCTACCTAAGATACTTAATAAGCATACGCGAAGTTTCCAAACGTCAGTCCTACAAAGATTAAAGAACTGTAAAATTAAGGTTTTGCATCAGTAACATTACACATTTTGCGGCATCGAATGAGTTACTAAAACCTACCAGCAAGTTCTATGCAGCGTACATCTTATTTTCAGCTCTCCTCAACTTTATACTTGCTAAGCTGGTTTTGCCTGTTTCCAGTAAAATGAATACCAAAAAGAACAGGTGTGATAAATACTCTCCCTCCCCTGTAAGAGTAGGAATGTTGTTATATTTAACGATACTAGTCACCTAAAGTGCTTGACATATTCTTGTACAGTGATCCATGACAACTAAATCTTAAACCATTACTATTTATGTGTATTTTTACTCCTAGGAATCTCTAAATGAGCAGAGTCCTCACTAAAGGTAAAAGTCCTCCATGAAGGATGACTATACTCTGAAATTGGCTCATAATTTCACATTAAATAGTTTGATCTTCCAAATTTATGACATAAAATTGAATTTTTCTGTATTTTATTCATAACTATGCATACATAGACCATTTCTTAATTGAACATGCACATTGTATGTTTGGGAATTACTCCATTCTACCCACATAGTAGGTAAAATATAAAAACTCTAACTCACTGGTTTTACATTTTGGCATATTAGCTAAGCTATACATTTTTCTACCAAGAGTTATATATACTTCTTTAATTCTCTCAAGTGATAGCATGTTAAATGGCCTGAGTACTTAATATTCACCCTATAGTAAGTCTTCAGTAGCAAACCGAGCAGAGGACTTTTGTAAAACATACATTTGTGTGGACTTGAACATAAAAATACAATACTATGAGGTTTATAGATCTCTAATCTGTACTAGAAGTATAAAAACATGTTTGAGAATGATCATAATATTCATTTTTTAAAGAACTAAAGGAAATACAGCATGTGATCTAATATTGGTGATAAGTATATGCATGAATACTATTTTTGGTACTCTGATATGTTTTCTGTATTTCGTAATTATAAAAATTTAGATGATTTTCACAAGAACACTAATAAGTTACTAAAAGCTAGGGGAATTTTTGAGATATTTTTTAAAACTGTTTCAACACATGAGAAGATGCTTAACACCACTGATCATCAGGGAAATGCAAATCAAAACTACAATGAGATAACACCTCACACCTGTCAGAATGGCTAAACCCAACAACACAAGAAATAGCAGGTGTTGGCGAGGATGTGGAGAAACAGGAACCCTCTTGCACTGTTGGTGGGAATGCAAACTGGTGCAGCCACTGTGGAAAACGGTGTGAAGTTTCCTCAAAAAGTTAAAAATAGAACTACCCTATAATCCAGCAATTGGGTTACCCAGGTATTTACCCAAAGAATACAAAAACACTAATCCAAAGGGATAAATGCACCCCAATGTTTATAGCAACATCATCTATAATACAAATTATGGAAAGAGCCCAAATGTCCACTGACTGATGAATGGATAAAGAAGATGTGGTGTGTGTATATATATACATATATATGTGTGTATATATATATATGTAATGGTGTATATATATGGTATATATACATATATGTAATGGAATATAATTCAGTCATGAAAAAATGAAATCTTACCATTTGCATTGACATGGATGGAGCTAGAGAGTATTATGCTAAGTGAATTAAGTCAGTCAGATCATATGATCTCATTCATGTGTGGAATTTAAGAAGCAAAACAAACGATCATAGAGGAAAAAAACGAGAGGCAAACCAAGAAACAGACTCTTAACTGCAGAGAACAAACTGATGGGTCACCAGAGAGGAGGTGGGTAGGGGGATGGGTAAAACAGGCGATGGGGATTAAGGAGCGCACTTGTTGTGATGAGCACAGGGTGATGTATGCAAGTGCTAAATCACTAAAGTGGACACCTGAAACTAATATAACACTGTGTGATAGCTAACTGGAATTTAAATTAAAACTAAAAAAGCTGGGGCGCCTGGGTGGCGCAGTCGGTTAAGCGTCCGACTTCAGCCAGGTCACGATCTCGCGGTTCGGGAGTTCGAGCCCCGCGTCGGGCTCTGGGCTGATGGCTCAGAGCCTGGAGCCTGTTTCTGATTCTGTGTCTCCCTCTCTCTCTGTCCCTCCCCCGTTCATGCTCTGTCTCTCTCTGTCCCAAAAAAATAAATAAACGTTAAAAAAAAAAAATTAAAAAGCTGACAGGTTCAGTTTGTTTAGTTCAGATATGATTTCCTAGTTTCTTCTGGTGAACAACCATGGCAAGAAAAATTGATTTGACTGGAAGTATCATGGCATGATAGAATGCGAACTTATCTCCATTTTGAACATAATTTTAATTGAGAAAAGGAAATATTTTGGTTACAGCTGAAAATTTACGTTCAATGTCTTTAATTCTTATTGTAGACTTAAGCTATTGGGGGTAGCTCGTACATATTTTCACAGGCACAAAATTATACTTCATAAAATAGAAAAAAAGATTTTGTCTATTTAGAATTTCCATAAGCATCCAACACTTAGTATCTCTGGTTTTTATAGTGCTTTATTTATTTTTATTTGAGAGAGAGAGAGAAGTGAGTGGGGGAGAGGGGCGAGGGAGAGAGAAGGTTAATCCTAAGCAGGCTCCATGCTCAGCACGGAGCCCCACGTGGGGCTCAGTCCCACGACCCTGGGATCATGACCTGAGCTGAAATCAACAGTTGGACACTTGCAGCGCCTGGGCGGCTCAGTCGGTTGAGCGTCCGACTTCGGCTCAGGTCATGATCTCACGGTTCGTGAGTTTGAGCCCTGAGTCGGGCTTTGTGTTAACAGCTCAGGGCCTGGAGCCTGCTTCGGATTCTGTGTCTCCCTCTCTCTCTGCCCCTCCCCTGCTCACACACTGTCTCTCTCTCTCAAAAATAAATAAAGATTAAAAAATTAAAAAAAAAAAAAAAAGAGTTGGACACTTAACTGACAGAGCCACTCAGGTTCCCCCTGGTTCTTGTAGTTCTTATGAAAATGTTTCTTTTTTTATATCAATATTACATATAATTTTTTTTGGCTTTTTGTTACTGAAATTTGTCATCTTAATATTGCTTTATTGGAATCTTTGTACTCTGTGGAAACATACCTGTTTCCCATAACACTCCATTTTAGGACTTTATTGATTATAAAATCATTGAGAGGATGTTATCTCCATATATTTTAGTCCATATCTGAATGGTGTTTTACTTTATGATCAATATTATATCCTGCAAGTGAGGGGGGAAACCATCACTTCCTGTTTTGTTTTCAATTAGAATTTTTCTACAATCATCAACTCAGAGTGGGCCAGTGTAGCCCACTATTCCCTAGGCAGAACTCTAGACATCCTTAAAAAAGAAAAAATTAAGACAAGTAATGAGATTTTTCACTTACATGCACAACTTACTAAACTCACCAATGATATACATGAGCATTAGAAAAAGTAACTTCTTGCTGAAGATTTCTACAGAAAATGAGCTAAAATACTCAGTGTTATCATTTTAGTTCAGCTTCTTTCAGTTATAAATTAAAGACCCTAATGCTGAGGGGAAAGCCTCTGCTATTGTCATTAGATCATGATGAAATTGGG